GGGCGGAAAGGTAGACTTTAATAAATAGTACTTTAATATACTTGGTCAAATGGTTAGTTTATTAAGTTTTCTCTCTATATTCTTTGAAGTCTTCTTTAGTTTACAGGTCTTACTTCCTCTCTAAAAGGGCAAGCTACCTGTCAACTATCATACCCAGAAATATGATTAACATTAGGAAATACATTACAACTAATATGCTCAAAATGTAAAGTACTTTTACTACTATATTCATATTGAAGAAGCAAAAGCTTACGCACTTTAGCCTCAAGAAAGTTATGAGACTGTAAAGTAGTCATATTAGCTTAAAATCTAAAGACTCTGTGTATAAAATATAGAGAATGGTTTAACAAACTGATAAAATTTGAATGCATACATAATTAGAGTAAAAATTAGAAATAACTAGCAGTATATGAAATCTCCTTAAGCTTATACAGTTTTCCTCAACTCTGACAACCAACTTCCATTTAAGAAACTTATTGAATAAAGTCATCAATCTAATAATATTAAGTTTGCTAGTTTTTTTCTCCTCAGCTCTATTGTTTACATGTTGTAGCTTTTATTTATTTTTTATTTTTTCAAGAAAATGTTTCAGTTTGCCGCCCTATTTTGAATCCATCTTCCTACTAGGAGTTCTTATTCTACATCCACATACATGAAGCTCTAAGCTGAGTAGTTATGTATAATCCAAAGGTGCTTTATAATATAAGTCTTCTTATTATCTTTCAAATCAGTAAAGTGAAAGGTAAGGTCAAGAATATTGTATTAACATAGTATGAAAAAAGAAATCCTCTAATTATATCTCTTAACATACTTATAATTTTCTAATATTTACAAACTAGACCAAGTATGCATTTAAAAACAAGATTAAATAGATAAAATGTATATAAACTACCTTTTACAAGATCATAGTTATGAATTATAGGAAAAGTTATAACAAGTATTTCTAGAAAAATATTAGGCATATAAGAAGTGCACAGACCTCTCAGTTGGGTAACTGCAGACAGACTCTCATTTATTGAGTAGCCAATATCTTCCTCCAACTTTATTATAAAATCTACATATTTGTAACAAGATTTTAGTATGTTTTATCCCATAACTATAATGTCATTTCAATGAAGCCCACTTCAGAATCCTATATACCATGAAAACTCAAATAATTGGACTCAGTTTCATGTCATCTAAAATTTCCTTGTACCTAAAGAGGGTAAGAAATACTACAAAAACATAGCCCTTTTCTCTCCTGTAGGACAGAAAAATAAACAAAATGCTTTTTAACCTTATTGAGAGAGGAAAGCCTAATGACATGAGAGTGGGTGTAATTATTCATGTTCTCACAGTTCATCATTGCTGTCCATCTAACCAGAAGCTATTTGGGGCAAATATAATAAGACATTTTTAAGTACTTCTGGAAAGTGCAATGGAACAAATCTGTAGGAACAACATTGAGTTACTAGGTTTCAAAATTAGGCATCTGTACTACTGGCTACACATAATGGGACATTTTTATCTTAATGATCTGAAACTGCTTCTACAGTACCTCAGAGGCCATAAGAGATAATAAAGATACTGATATCGATCTGAAGACTACTGTAAATTGTTAGGTCCTGAGACAGGATTCCTTTAGAGGTGTTTCTCTAGAAGATAAGGCAGACTAAGAGGAAGTTACTCAAACTCAGAAGACCTAATAGGCAGTAGGGATAACATATTAGTATACTGTCAAGAAGACCTATATCATGTATATGTATCCAACACATAAGTTGGCTACTCTGTGAATTCGAAAGAGACTCTCAGAGCAATAATCAACCAGACTGAGGTTTCAGGAAGATGTTTATTCAGCTCTATAAATTGAAAACCATCAGTTGGAAGATGTTAGTACACTCATTAATAATAAAGACTTCTTTAAAAACAAGTTCAAAAGTAGTATGAAAGATTTTAGGGTCAAAAAGTATTCACACTTGTTAAAACTAAGCACTATTGCATATAAAGTTGGAAAAGATACTTAGTTCTATAGTAGTTATAAGTAGTCTGTAAACACTCAGATGTGGAATTTAAATATTTAAATACCTTCTAGGCTTTACAGATATCATCTAGCAACAAAGAAGTGATCTTAATAATGTTCCAAGAAATCTTTATTACCAATCTTTACTTTTCCTTCTTAATTGAGTTCTTTGTAGTCATAAATGAAAACAACATTATGGAGCCTCCTTAGACAATCTTTGTCTACAGTAAAAGATTCCAACCTAAGTCTTCTCAACACATATTAGAGTTGGCTTCCACCTAACAAATGTAGTTCATAAATACTCAGACATAATATAATATAAATATTCAAATACCTCTCTTGCTTAAAGCACTCATCAAGTAATGGAGAAGGGATCTTATCAACACGATATTAATTTACCTTCCAATCTTTACATTTATTTAAAATCTTTCTACACTTGTAGTAGTCATAAACAAACCAAGTTGTGTCAAGCCTTCCTAGCCAATCTCAGTCTATGCAAGATTCCTCAGCCCTAGCATCTCCTTCTTCTTAGAGATCCGCTACCACCTATTAAGTACTTAGATCGAGGTCACACTTTCTCACATTTGGTGTCGTTCAGTCAGGCATGACTGGTCCATTGTGCATATGCAGACGCGGTGGTGTTTGCAAACGTCAGAAAATTACGGTAAAGTACACTCGGCACAGTCCCGTTTTGTTTGCTCTTTTGCTAATCTCGGTTTTTCTATGGCACTTTTCCTGCCGGGCAAATGTTTCGGAGCTTCAGGGTTCATCGGGCTCGTTGGGTCTACTTGTACGAGTACAGTATCATACAAGTTTACTCCATGTCACCGTGTATGATTCGTCAGATCCATAATTTCGTATTTAACCGAGAATAAGAAATCATTACAGATCACTCGGGAATGGGTTTCATTTCCCCGGGGATACCTGTATCATACCGCATCTTGGGTGGTAGGCGCTAGGCCAGAATGTGGTAAGAGCAGGTCAAAGTGCATTTCTACCCAAACTAATCGCTGATTCGTGCTTCGTAAATTAAGGTGACTGGAATGATGCATAATTTACCAGGAGGAGGAGGAGGATTTGTCGTCCGGAGGCCAGCACTTGACTTCCGCTGCTGAACCAAGATTACCATTCCACAAGCGAGTGCCCTGTCATAAAAAATAAAAAAAAGTCCGAGACAACATTCACCGGGTATGACTTGTACTGTACTCGTACAACAAAATTGTTCCGCTCTCACGGCAGCAGGAGCCTTGACCCGCCATCTCAAAAATATCCCGACCGACCGACCGACCGACTGACCGACGGGCACCGTCCAATTGTCCAGTACCGTACCTTCCCAAATCCAACCAACCCCTCGGTACGGCCAATCAGAAAGCCAAAACATCTTTTCAGCTGGCTGACCGCAATGTAAAAAAACGCCTGTCTTGTCTCTCCCGCTTTTTTTCCTTTTCCCTGAAAAGGCGAAACACACGTCCTCCCCACCCCCTTTTTCTCGGCATCACCGACCAAGAACGACTCATCCAATCAACCAATCATCCGGCCGAAAAGGCAACAGTAGTAGTAGGGTAAAATCTAAAAGCTTGAATCCATAATTCCCCGAATGTATCACAGGATTCAAAGCGCTCGATACGCCACCCGTCAACTTGTCGCAGAGCTTAATACTTGCGGTGTGGTGGGGAGTCTCCTTTTAGTTCACTTGTGTTGTAGAATTGTTGTGTAACGGAGGTGTTAGTTAGGCTGCCATGGCACCGTAAATTTATTATATTTTGGCCCATCTGCTTCCGGGCTGCTGGTTAGTTGCTTGCTCACTCCTGCATCGTGAGCCTCAGACTCAAGTCTGGAATGTTCCCATTCCATGCTCATAAGCACCTCGAGAAAAAGTGCCATGCAGATAGTACCCGTAGACTAACGGCCGAGAGCATCAACAGCAAAGTGCACCACGGCTATAAAAACAAATGAGCCAATAATAATACTAGTACGGTAACCCGCCACACCCGCCTCGGAAAAACAAAATCTTCACCCCCGAGGCTCCCTCGGTCGTCGACCGATCGTCCGGGAGTTCGCCTTGGTATGGGTTGCCCCGAGCTGAGTGAGACGAAACGAGTTTAGAGCACTGTAAAAAAAAAATTAAACCAACGAATCATAAATTGGGATGAGGAAGGGGAAAAAAATGCGTATCATACCGTGATGAGTTGGAGTAGAAGAAGAAATTGTGCCATCATACCAATGTCGGAAACTAACCGATGCAGGCCGAGAAGGACAGCGGCTGTGAGTGAGGGAGGATGGGGGCGAGGCCAACGGGGCGGTGTGTGGCTTGGCCACTGATTAGAGTTGTTTGGTTGTGGAATGTCATGACTGGTCACTCAGGATTTCTAGAATACGGTATTGAGCTTTCTTTGCTGGGCCATTCATGGCGTGATATGATACTTTGCCCTATACGCCGATAGCATAGCAGAGGGTGAATCAACGGTATTGGATGAGGATAGATAGGTATGATAGTTCCGGTCTCAGTACCGTAGGCATACCATCGCCGGCTATAAAATGACGGGTTCTCATCACAAAGTCACTCATTAAACCTGTAGTCCCATATATATCATACTACCATAATTATCACAAAGAAACACAAGAACCCTATCAAATTCAGAACAGGGAGCAACCGTCAACAAAGTAGTTCATCCAAAGTGCCCAATTATGATAAGATTCACCCAGATACTTGTATGATACCGGAGTCGGCACAAACGGGTCTTCACAAATTTGACCAAACGACCAACCGAACTATGTATATCCTCGGACGAGGAAATTATTATGATAACCTCCCGGGCCCAGAAATCTTGGGACGCCGCGCCCCGCCGCCAGATTAATTGGTTAATTAATTAATCCCATTGGGGCTGTGTATGATATGCATTTAAGGTTTGTCTTACAAAACGCTTCACCTCCTCCTTAGGTATCATGATACTATTATCATAATAGTGAATTTGGCTTTCTATCATTACTAGCGGAGTTCAGGTTTACCACGGAAAGTGAAGCGAGCGAGTGAGGGTTAAGCCTGGCGCAGTACGGGCTGTGTGAAGAGGAGACAGGCAATGATGGGGAAAAAAATGCGGTATGATAACTGATTCATGGAGAAGAAAACATATCGTATGATAGATAGATAAAGATCCAGCCAACCGATAGGTAGCGCGCACCATTCACATGGCAATCCTCCACTTCGTGTCGTACCGAGGAACTGGCGGAGAAAATCCATGATACTGTATAGTATCATAATATCATAATCCCCTCAGTTTGTTCTTTGTCGAGCCCGCAACCCCGCTATCGGTCTCGACGCCAGAACCTATCATCATATATCGCCGCATCCTTGCCGAAACTGTCGATTCGATTCGAAACAGGAACGACAGCAAGCGCAAAGCGAACAGGGATTCATGATACATTTTTATTGGTATCCCTGTCATTCATCACCGCTATCCGTCAATTCTCCCCTCCCCCATTCGCCGATTACATTAGATAAGGTAGCCGGGGGGGGCTCCCCCTTTTTTTCGAAATCACGGTCATGGATCCGTCCAATCCGGATGCGGGTTCCTCTCCGCACGGAACGGTTTGCGGTTGACCAAATAAACAAGTATGTACTCGAGTACAAGTATCATAAGAGAAAGGCCCCTAGGAGAATAGCGAGTGATGCCCAATGAATTATTATATTTTTCCTTTTCGTTTTCATATCCTTCGATCACTTTACAGCATGCCGGGCAATAACCATCGTGCATGGATTTGAAAAAAAAAAGCAAAAAAAAACAAAAACAAATACGAAGGATTTAAAAAAAGAAAAGAAAAAAGTAAAAGTAAAAGTAAAAGAAAAAAACAGATCACCCCCGGATCTTAAGCGGGACTTTAACGTCCAACGAGCTCAACGGTCCAGCCAGCCACGGAATGCTGACACCGTTAATGTCGGTGCCGTTGCCACGGACATCCAATACGACGGGCTTACCACTTCCCATAGCGGTGACGAGGGGGGCGAGTGCGGTGCTCTGTATCCTTGCGCGGAAATCGTATGTGTGGTTGCCCGGACGGATTTGGAGGCCAGGGATAGTACCATTTCCGAGAGCTTGTCCATTAAGGGACATGTTGATGTGGACATCACCCTAATAATGGATTAATACCACGAATCGGAGGAAAGGAAGAAAGTGGAAATTACCATTTGGATCTCAAAGACGGTGGGGTTGGGAATTAAGACCTTGCCAGCGAGGTTGGAGCCATCGGCTTGCCGATTCAGGAGGGTGTATTCTTCGATTTCCATTCCATCAAGTCGATTGAAACCTGCGGCCAGTTAGGTTATTTTACAGCTCAGACTCATTGATGATGGTGATGATTCGGGGATTACCCTTGATGGTGACGGCCTCGTTGTAGTTGACCTTCGTACGCAGCTTGCCTACCCGCAGGGTTGTTCGTCCGCGGATAGCCACCCTCAAGGTCTCGCTGGCCAATAACGATGCAGAGAATTCCGTCAACGCGGGGACGGAGGTGATCGCGGTAGTAACATTGGTGGTGATGACGGGGACAGAGCTTCCTCCCTTGATGCCCGGGAGTTGAAGGGACATGAATGGCTGGATAGGTTTATGGTTTTCCAAGAAAAAAATGACTTCCATTGGGTCAAGGCGGGAATGGGCAGCGATGCCCCCAGCGCCTGTGATAGTGCTGTTAAGGGATAGTAATAGGGAAGTCGGCGATGGATCAAGAATTGTGAAAGAATGTAAGTTCAGGACGGTCTTGTCGAGTTCTTTCTGACCGACGGCGGGGAGAATGGCGTATACGCTACACTTCTACATTAGATATCATCCAGAGTCATCGAAAAGTGAAGAACGGAAATACTAACACAATGATCATAATGATCAGCACTAACAAACAGAACGCGATCAACCAAACCCACCAAAAGCGACGGCAATGTCGCCCAACCTTGCTCTGTCGTTTAGGAGAGCTTTCGACATACTCCGCAGCCTCCCCATTCTTTGCCGTTGACGAAGCCATCGTGAATAATCGTAAGCGTCAATAAATCCGTCAAAAAAAACAAAAAAAAAACAAAAAAAAAAACTCCAAACCGAAAACCTCAGAACCACGAAATCAACAAAGCAGTGAACGAAGGGGAACAGGTAATATTTTATTTAAATGGCGATCAGCTAGGCCAGGGTAGGGGAGGGGAGGGGGTGGGTGAAAAAGGTTGATTAACCATTAATTTCCAATTTTCCAATTTCCGATTATTATTATTATTTCCCCCCCCATACCTCCACTTCAAACCACCTACGAGTACCACGCACTGGTGCCATTTAAGGCTAACCTCGTACAAGACCCGCAGGAATCCCAGACAGGGCAGTTAGACAGCAAAAACGAAATTTCCCTCCTCCAAACACATTCTTCTTGCTCCTACTGCATTCCTCCTTCTCATTTTCCTCCCCACTATGATACCATTACCATCACCCACAACCAATCCATCCGACCATCCACCCACAGCACAAACCCCACCCATCCCAACCCTTCGGTTCCATGCGGAGGAGTTGCCACTTTTGTAACGAGAACCCATTAATTTTTTTGCGTTCGGCATCACATGTATGATGGAGTACTTTAATGGGGATAAACTCGATGCTTTGGTGCAGCGTTATTATATGGAATAGGCAACTGCCTTCAGTTTTGGGAGGGGGGGAGTAAAAAAAAATTGGGAAAATTGGGAAAATTGGGGGGAAAAACAGGGCGTTTGGGAAAGAGTGAGTGAGTGAGTGGTGTCGCATGACCGTTGGTTAGTCTTGCTGTGGTGATTATTGTTACAATACTGCCGGTACGAGTACTCGACAGTACAAGTAACTAGCACCTCGAGGCTGGGCGGTAGCTATGCTGCATCTGGAGAGAAAAGAGCAGTGGCGAATTATATGAAAATTAAGCTCATGGCCTTCATCTCCTGCTCCTCCTATCACAGCCTCTTGTTCAACCGACCTTAATTTTCCGCTGTCTCTCCATTTGTGGCGAATCCCCCTCCTCCCCCTATCCTTCCTCCCTGCATCCGACCGCAGGAGTTTGCTGGTGGCGGGAAAACCCACCGCCACCACCGCGTCAACAAATCGAGAAAAGGCTTGGCAGAAGTAAAGTCCCCGTGGGGTATAGTACCCTACTTCCTTCCTTGAGTGCGTGTGCGGGCGGGGCGGCCTGGTGCTTGTGTTGAGCTGTGATGGCTTGTGAATGATGCTACGTATCATACTGATAGACTACTCGGCTATGGACACGGGTAACCGGTCATCCAGGGCTTCCAGAGGCACGGCCGTTCTACTCGTACAGGTACTTATACAGTACCCTCATGGGAAATAAAAAGGATGGACTTGGAATGGGAAGCGGACAAGAAGCTCTGACATCTCTGATCTCTGACTGTCTTGTCACCCACGTCCATACCCGAGTACCGGTCGGAACGATAGATATTACTAGCATAGCACACGCCAAGTTACTAGTACCAACCATGATGCCGATAACCCGCATGCCGCTTACCAACTTGACCTTTACGCGTAATAAAGTATCCGGACGCTTCGCATACATTAATACCCGTCTTGGCCCCGAGGCGTCCGGATACTTTTACAAACTGCCAGGTAAATTATCCCTTCAAGTGGATGAGACATCCAGATTCCGTTACCGGCAATTCTATGCTTGAGACTGCGAGTAAGCAACCCTTTTTTCACCAAAAAAAAAGCGCTTGATATTTCATGATCTTGTCAAGCAGAGTCACCGGGCCACACTCGGATTAGGCATGTGCGGAATACGGAATACGGAATACGGTATGCAGGTCTCATCAGCTGAAAAGGGGTGGTACCGTACTTGTACCCTACCGTACTCGTACTGTACCCGCATACGGTAGCGATGCTCCCGGGATAAACAAATACTCTTAAATTATCGGCCCCCAACTGCCAATTGTCCGTGCTTGCGCTGAGTACCCTGCCCAGGCGTTTCTCCAATCTTTTGATTACTGTGCTCGGTTCCTTCCGCTCGAACTTGCTGGTGCTTATTCCGCATGATACCGTACCCGTACTGGCGGTGCCACAGCAGAGGTCTCACGTCACAGTACCGGTATGGCTGAGCTGCCTGCACGGTCGTGGCGGGGTTGACCGTCTTCCAGGATCATTCCAGGATCATCGCGTGTGGTTTTTCGGGTTCTCAGCTTTTTCAACTCTTTCATCTTTCAGAAGATCGTACTGTACTCGTTCAAAACTACCTAGGTAACTAGAGCTCCCTTGTGACAATGAAGCTTCAATTGGATGTGTATTTTATCCACCATACATAGAAATATTGTGCCATGTTAGCATACCATACTGGTATTGGACCGTGCATGTACTCGTACTGACCGGTCCTCTGGGCTGCGCATGGCTCGTAGCTACCTGTACCTGTAGCGGTAGCCGTCCATGTAAGAATAGGGAGATAAGAGAAGGGAGAGAAACACGAGAAACAAATAATGGTCGGTGGCGCTGTGATCGAGGGGGAGGGAGGGAAAGGGAGGAAAGGAAAGGGACACCAAGGAACGGTATTGTGAAAATGGAGAGGAGAAAAAATGGCCCCTAATGCCACCCATTCCGTACTTCTATGAAAGGAAAAACAGTTTCCCGCGCACGCCAGAAAAATGCTTTAATATCATACCTGCTGCGATAGCCCGTCGCCAAACAATTCATCCGGTAACCCCAAGTAATGATCCCTGTGTGGAATTGAAAAGATAGGATTGGATAGAGTATTAAAGGAAAGTAGACAAGGAGAAAAGGATGAAAGAAAAAAAGGTATTGTAAACCCCCCTCAACAAAAATAGCTTCCCTCTGATCTGACAACGGCAAATATACCCTGATCATAGCTTTGAAAACTCCTCCTCCAGTGCCAACGCATAGTTTTGCGCGATTCCGGAGGTGTCTTCATATGAGTTCCACTTGTTAGTTCCCACATTGGCTCCAGAATTGGTCAATCTAGGATCTTTCTTGGCCCATTCTTTGACGAGCTCGAGTAGATACCCCTGGTTGGCCTTGAAATGTGCTTCAATCACGTCCTGTAAACCTGTAAGCGTCTGATAAGAACCAAGTAATGTCGTTGACGTACCTTCCAAATGCCATTCCTCTTGGAAGAGTCCTTGAGCCAATCAAGCATTGCCCATTTGACACTGTTGACACGGACTCGGCTGTTGAACTCCTCGGCATCCTTTTTCCGGGTTCCTTCACGCCGTCCGGGTTCATTGTACCAAGGGGCCGCGCAAAGTATCATGGACTGGATGGAGACAAAAACCTGGAGCAAGGTGGAAGTTCCCGGCTGCCAACGTTCGGAAGAAGCGCCGGACCAAGTATTAAGGATGGAGAGGCACACTGCATGTCACTGATTAGCTATATGTTTAGGGATCCGACACTCGAAATCTACCTTTTCCGCAATTATATAGATTTGGGTTAAAGTGAACAGTCCCGTTCCCAGTGGTCTTGAATTGGCACATTGGTGGACCACTCGGGTAATTCGCAGGAGCCCAGATGTCAAACCTTACTCATTAGCATTTCATCCAACTGACTCAACGGAATGACTAACTCGTAAAGCCCGCCCTCATACGGCGTTTCACAAGGACCAACGATCATGGCCTTTATGATATCTGGCCTACCATCTTCAACTCTGACAAAAACCCCTTGCGGAAGGCTGGTGCTCATTGTGGCCATCTCTCTGCTTAGGTGAAGAACTCGGCCCCTCGGACTGGTAGTTAGGCTAGTCGCCTGTGAGTTCCAATAATGTGTTGTGACGACACCCTCAACGTACTCAAACGCCATCCCGTCATGATATCCTAGGTCCAAGACCGGAGCCGCGGGTGGGGATGTGATCTGGGGGGGCGCCTCAATACTCTTGGAAGAAATGGAGGATGATCTATTTTGATTGCTCGCGTTACGGGATGAGAGTTTGAGAAGCTTTTCCCCGATAGCAGCGATTTCCATGCAAATCTTGAGAGTTTTTGCCGCCTCCGTCCCTTCAAACTCGTCCCCCTTTGTCTTCCCCACACAATTAAGGAAGACCTTAGCTTGAGTGCTTAGTTTCGACATAACTTGAACCATGCTGTGCCTGCTAAACCCATCTTCATACATCAAGACTTCTGCACGTTTCCTCTCTTCAACCGCCGCCGCAGCCTTTCCCCTGGTCTTCGGGCCGATCTCGGCTAATAGATCGATGGCCGGCTTGCTTTGAGTAATTTTCATGATGCCACTTGTAAAAAGCTTGGAACGACGATTCTCTAGTATCAGAAATTCAAGGCTCGGGTTGTCTGATAGACGATTCAATAGGGCAACTAGAGCAAGATACACCTCACTATGAATCGAAATATCTTGGATGGAATCATTTCGTAAGAGTTCCTCCATCTTTTCAGCCAACATACTTGCCCTCAACATGCTCAGAGTGACGTCGGGCATCGCGTATTGTAACTCATTCTCCGAGCCGGAATCGGAAAGAAGCCTAATGAGTGTCCGGACAACCGCATAAAGCATCTTGTCGTGCATGATCTGCTTCGATGGTAGCGGTGGATGTGTTGGCATAACCTGAGGTTTGAGGGTCGAGCGGGAGTGAAATGCTTCGGGGGGTCCAGGCCAAAGGTGCGGCACTACGATTCCATCATCGGCAAAGCCGGATGGTGCCCCTACCGCCTCGAGAAGTGTGTTAGCATGATCGGGATCTGAACTGGCTGGAATGTAGGCTGGAATATAGCCAAGCGGTGATAGTCCAGCCTCTGGATGCTGGGCCACATAAGATTTTAGGTGTTGCATCATATCTGATGCCGAAAGGGGCGGACCGGTCGCATTCTGGAAAATCGGCAGGCCTGGTATACCCTCTATAGAATTTGGCAATGGATCTTTGGCCGAGCTAGGGCCACCAGGAGAGTTGGTCAAAGGTTTGCTTGGGCCTTGGAAGAAAGAGGGGTGATATTGGTGGCCGGGGGCCATTGGTGTTTTGACAGCTGGATGGGGTGGGGCGTGGGGAAGACTGTATGGCAAACCACTCAGAGGGGTTGCCCCTCTTCCAAGTCCAAATCCATGGTAAGGATATACCATTGGCATTGGGGGTGCTTTTGGGTTGGCAGGCTCATTGCTTGCCGTGTTTGAGGGACTATATGGAGGGGGGGCTTTGAGGGGTAAACCGTTAGCAATCGGAAACCCGCGGGAAGGCTTGAATTGGTATTCTGAGGGAAGTTGTAGCAAGGGAGAAGTAAGTGGTACAGCTTCAACCGTCGACGGGCCAGGGGGGGGTTGGAATGGTTGGTTCGGGAAAAACAGAGGCGTGGCAGAAGCAAGAGGTAAACCTTCGGGTGTTGATAGGCCGGGAGGAGGCTTTATTTTTGGGGCGGGCGTTGGCTCGGGTTGGGCCTGTGAGTTATGGGTGACCCCGAGAGGCTTTGTGGAGGCCAAAGGGGGCCCGCTCAGAGCGGCCACTTGCGCAGCAATTTTCTCCGATAACTTCCCTATCCCGGAATCCGTGACTGGAAATTCAAGATCACTAAACATCAATGGGCCATCATCGAAATCGGATTCGTCTTCAGGAAAGTCCCAATCCATGCTGTCACTGGTGTCAAAGCCGAACATGGACGCGGTATATGCCCCGGACCCATAACCAGTTCCCTTGTCTTTGGTTCCCTTGGTCCTGGTTTTCCTTTCGGGTTTTGATACCAGGGGCTTTGCAGGATGTGGGCCGTCTGTGATTTTGTCCTTAAGTGATCGGAGGCTACGTCTGAGAGTTCCTTTGATCCCTCTCCCGGCCGAGGCAGAAGACAGCGAGTTCCCATTGGCACTTAGTCCGAGGAACTCCTCATCAATAATCCCCAAACATAACAATATGGCAACTAGCTTTCCGTCACTGCAACACCATAGCCGCTTGTCATCTCGGAAGCTGCGCTCAGATGTTCTTGGCGAAGTGTCGTTTCCGTCGGGGTTCGCACCATTCAGGTCCTCCCATTTCTGATCCGACTCCGGCTTGGCAGGTTTGAGACAAGCGATGCAGAGATAAGTCCGACATTTTGGGCAACACTCGGTACCAAATATTTGGCTGATCTTCTTTGCATTTGGCTTATCTTCTTTTTCCTTGCCTTTGCCTTTGGCATCCTTCCCACTCTTGCCATCTTGAGCATTTCCATTCTCCTTCTCCTTCTCCTTCTCCTTCTCTTTGCCTTCGTCTTCAATGTTCTCCTTGTCTATTTCGAGACCGGTTTTGCTCATGGACGGGCCATTGCCACTGGCAAGCCTTTTAACCCTGCCCCATTTTGCTAACCGCGATATGGTTTCTTCTCTTGCCTTTTCCTCAATCTCCTTGCGATGCTTCTCAACTTTTTCAGCATTCCGGACAGCATTTTTAATCCTGTAGATGGAATCAAGCTGGTTTCTAAGCGTATCGGTAGTGACGGATTCGAAATGGAGCTCGTTATTGCATTGACTACAGCATCGACCTTTCGGGTGTAGTGCGGTCCACCAATTACGCAGGTTGAGAACATCCACCTCGGATGGGTTCCCAGTGTCTTCTGGGGACGTGATTTCGCTGCTGATCCTGCTGGAAGGACCCGAGCTAAAGGAAGAAGATGCACGCTTCTGTGGTTGCGTCATTAGAATGGTTCTACGCAAGAAGGGTATAGCTAAGCTCGCCGAAAAGCTCCAAACAAAGCTTATCACGGCTTCAATGAACGTGGAAAAAGAAAAAAAGAAAAGAAAAAAGAAACCGTGACAAGAGAGAATATTACGCACCGGATTCATCTTATAGGTGTCCTTCAACGGGATCTTGTTCTTCTCGTGTGAATTAGAGGCTCCAGCGGCAAAATTCTGGGTATCGGTTTGCAGCTGCGGAAGGTTTTTGTTTTTCCCGGATGCCTGAGGGGAAATGTTAGAAAGGTCTTAAGAGTTATGTGGGCAATCTGCTATCCATACCGGTGTATTATCCATCCTGGATCGCTTTCTAGCTTTTGAGCTTCCCCGTGTAACGCCCGAGGGGGGGGGTAGAGATGGCTTGTCGAGGCTGTCTTCGTCTGGTGAGTGAAGCCTCTTAGGTTTAGGTGTCATAGTGGTAGGAAAAAGGAAAAGGAGGAGAAGGATAGGGGGAGTGAACGTATGTGCGCGCGTGTGGGTGTGGGTGTGTAGAGGAGGGGGCAGGAGGCGATCAGTGAGTGGGTGAAACTTTTTAGGCCTAAGGAAAGAGTACGGTCCTGTACCCCCCGCGAGGCTCACGGATGTAGAGGGGTGCAGGGAGAGGGAGATGAGAGGATGGCGGAAGGAGGTGGACGTGGCACAAACTCCAGCTATAGAAAAAAAGGAGGGGGAAAGGCGGAAACGAAGGGCATAGAAAGAAAGGTGAGATACGCTTGTGGTAGTCTTGCCAACTGCGGGCTTTCGTTGTTGATTGTGAAGCACGGGTTCCGCTTTGCACTACCTTCGCTATCGATCCAGCCCCGCCTTGGCACGTTAACTAAGCGAGTTTTGATAGTTGCCATGACAACCAATGAAATCTCTGAATTGCTGCCTTGATTATTTTTAGGTTGCATGCGGGGATCCATCAGGCTCCCGCAGCTTATCACGACAAGGGGCAGTTTAGAGGACTTGGGGTAATGCCCGCTATCTACCGGGAACTGCACATGCCTCCCCCCTCCTATCCGTGACTCGAGCGGGCTCGATACTGGGCTACTGTAAAAACTCGAATAGAAGCTAAGTCTTCCAGGCACTGGAATGCCCTTTCTCGGCTATGGGGGCAAAACACCGCAAACTCAGCCCTTGGTTGGGACAAAAACAAATGAAAAACAAATGGAATGTACCGGCACACAGCGCCTTACTAGGAGAGGCAACTACAACGTCGTGGGCTGTAGGGAGTACCGTATCCCATGCCGTACGGTGATACCTTTAGTTACGGTAGGTAGTTTGTTACAAGTAGTAGAATGAGAATAAGGTTTCCCCTACCACATTTATCTTCTTTTCGGTCCTTACGGTACCACACCGTGCTTTGCTCAATATTCAGCCTCAGTGGGGTGCCATACGGTGCCGTGCTCACCCTTGGACTGCGATGCATATAATTTACTCTATGATTCGAGGATCAGGTCAAGTGCGGTACCGGTATGCAGGAAAGTGTATCGCCCCCGCGTTTATTTAAAGCATTCCAAATCCCCTCCCTGAGCCTAGTGTAGTGGCGGGGTTCCAGCAGCTATGCAGACAGAAGAATTGGGGTTGCAGGCAACTCCTGCCCAATTTGCATAATCAGAATCGAGAGCCGTTGCTAAGAGCACATTTGAGGGAGGCTATATATTATGGTGTTAGGCTCCCCGAGTCTCAAGAGCAACGGCCGATCCTCGCCGATCTCCCCTCCGGGCTGTGCTGGAAGGTTTTGGTGATCTCACTTTTGCGGCATTGAGAGCCGGTACCTCGGAGAGTGCCAGTTTTTATTCTCAGGCAGCTAGGGATGAATTGGTACCTATAAGGCCGCTATGGCTGCCAGGCCCAGGGTCTTCTTCAGGCGTTTGGGTGTTGTGTAGTGCGCCTTTGAGACCACCTGAAATCTGGAATTCTCCCGGCACAACTGATTCTTGCCAGGAGTGTCAGGATCAAAAGCTCATGGAGTAGGGTTTGTGGCTCATTGTGACTCCTTTAATTTCTATCACTTTTCCAATTGGAAAAACTAGTGCCCAATCAATCCTGGCTAGGACACTCTCACAATGTGCCAGAAACACAAGTCTGTATTCAGAACAAGATCTACAGGCCCCGCGACTCATATCCACCACCAACCAGATTCTAACGGGAATGGTCGTTCACGGCTGTCGGGATCAGAATATCGTCAGAAACCTGACACCCCACTGCATTGGCAGGCCCATACGATTATAGGAAGCGTTGCTACCGTCGTATTAGCATTGGCTCCTATTGAATCGATTCAAAATTTACATACATACCAAATAAACACTAATCCTATATAGTGACAAGCCATGACTAAGTATTATCATAGCCAGTCACGAGTAATACTTAATGAGAATCACAGCAAATCAACCAGAATGATACCCAACAAGCCATTGGGAGAAATATACCGGTCGAGTAACCACCGTCAGCCACCAATTAATACCCGTTATCGTTTTCAAACGTCCAAAAATCTCCAGACGCGACATTCCATACTGCTCCAGTTCTGGTGCTTGCTGCTCTAGATTGGGGGTTGGTATGGGCAACGGTACAATGGTAGGAATGATATCCTCGCGTGTGAGTTTGGTTGGCCTGCATGAGAGATTTGTGTTAATCATAAGAATTTAGTAATCCAGGTAGACCAGATCCTGCTTTCAAAATAACTATTTGAGAAGCAGCCTGTTAGAATTATCTACTCCTGAAGTGGCACTATAGGAACCAATGCTCACTGTCAGTGGTGCACGCGGACTCTCCAATCGAAGTATTATAGTATGATATTTTGGCAAGCAAGAGTACTTAATTTCTGGTACTCACATTATTGGGGTCTTTAATCTAGCAGCGAACTACTCGTAATGCTAATTCTCCGACTAGGAATCTTGTTTGTGGATGTGGAAACCGGCCTTCCTGATGTTCTCAGCTGCCATTAGCCATCACACCTCTACATTTCCCATTCGTCTTGGCCTGACATCTTGGACTGGCGATCCCAACCCTTTTGTTTTGCTGATCCCTCGTTGAAACTTTGTACCATACCATATCCCTTCCTATGATATCATACCTTCAGTTCCGGTGTCTTTGCTAGGTCTGAGGGCAGGCTCCGCCGTATGCGGGTCCCGTTCGGCGAATCCTCTTTCATCTACTAGTAAACTTACTGTATGATAGCAGGTAAATGACCATAGCCATGAAACACCCCCTCCCAAAATAATTTCTCATCATTCTCCACATTCGCATTTCCACTTTTAGCGGATTCCACTGCAACTCTATCGCCCCCACCAACTTTCTCCTCCACTATAGCCTCCGCCTTTCCCTTAACAGCCTGCTTAATGTTTTTTTTCGGTCGCTACGGACGCATAATTCTTCTGAGACCCTTTGAACCCGACTTCGCTCCTGCCAACTCCTGTTCTTGTTTCCTTTTCTTCGCGGCTCTCTCTTCATTCTAACGACCCATTCCAGAGCCTTTGATGTGTGTGTCTCAGTTATCCCATCGGGGTAATACGGTTTCCTTTTCGGGTCGGGTGAGCCGTCCGTACTCGGTTCTGCGCGTTTGCGGCGTTCGCTGAGGCGGACGGACTTCGGCTTCAAATCCCGGAGGTCTTCGGAACAAGGAATGGGAGAGTTGGTTTTCGCCGCCCGAACGTGGTGTAATAGGGTGGGTGTGGTCACACTTTTTCCCTAGACCTTCCGTCATTAGGCACTCCTTCAAGGGAACAATTCTACAATGTCGGGGTAAGAGATGGAGTAGGAGACATGTTTCGATGCATGAGGGAGAGAGGGAAGGGACTTATTACAATTTAGGCGCCATAAGAGTGGGAAGATGTCAAGAGGAGGCGCGTGCGCTGCTAATACGGGAGACGATGGTGGTATTATGGCCTTGTGTAAGCAGGCTATTTGAAATCATGAACAAATAAACGATACTCAAGTCATGAGCGATTCTCAGAGCCTGCCGTGCAGTAGGTTTGAGATAAAATTATACAAACATCTCACTACCGGCAATTTCACACGTGGTCCAAAATCCAGAGAAGCCTCTTGGGTTATCATGGCTGGGACAGCGATCCTCGTTATTTCCCTTCTTTTCTTCTTCGCTTCTTACAATACAAAATCCCATTTCTTTGTCCCCAGACCCTAGGCGTCAGCACAGGCGATCTTTTGCGAGAGCAAACAACCCGCCCATCGAACTTTGGGCATTCTGCACGATGTCCTAAATTTAAACCCAAACCGGCTCACAGTGAGGGATAACCGGTCTCACGGGCTAGGACCGGCGAGCGTAATGGAAACGTGAAGGGACGCTAGTTTAAATTTATCGATTACAAGAGCGGTAGTTTGTCCGTTTCGTGAAGTAAGTAAAGTCGAAATATTCGACTTTTAGGTCGGTGTATTTCAACGTATCACATCCACCACGGTGGCGGGGAAGTCTTCATCGCGGTAGACCAGGTCTTCCTGATAGATAGAAGAATGAACGGTGGGAGAGCGGTATTGGGATGCAGTAGCCCATACACTTGCTCCCGCAATTGCTTATTTAGCGTATCAATTTCGAGCAAACCAGCCCCGAGCACAGGGGATCACCTCACCAACTAATCCATAGCAGATATGATACCCCCGACCCCCCATGGTACCACCATGCGATCTCCAACCAACTATTCCATATGATGTCCCTGTTTTCCGGATACGGGGTTTTGTTCTTAATTTTGTCCGTTAACCTAAACGTGGGGGAACGGAGGGATGACGAGGAGGGGGATGGCAAACCACACGAGTGAGAATTTGTGATTATCAGAATTGCTAAAGAGGAGGTTGGAGATGGTATTTACGGGGTATGTGAAATGCGTCGACCAACACCCCCAGGACGGGAAAGTTTAGACCTGAAAATTACAATCTCTTGGACATTTGAGCTCTGGAGGAACCACTATGATAAATTTTTGATACATCAAATATTCTCAGAGAGAGACTTCCAGGGCACCTACAGTATA